GCTACTTCTTGATTTTTTTGGTTTTATGACTTATTTATTTTTAATTTTAATTTTTTTATTCAAGTATAGTTGATTTATAATTTCAGGTGTACAGCAAAGTGATTCAGTTATATTCTTTTCAGATTCAGATTCTTTTCCGTTATAGGTTATTACAGCAATTGAACATAGTTCCCTTTGCTATACAATAGGTCCTTGTTGCTTATCTATTTTTTTATGACTTTTATTATTTATTGAGCTCCCACTGTGGAGGATGAAGATTTGGCTCTTTTTCCTTTGATCCCCTACCCCACCACCCGTCACTTCCCATCCTTATGTCTCCCCAGGGTATCTACATCATTATTTTGGTTAGACCAATATTCACCATTTACATCATTCTGATTGCTTTAGACTAGCATTTCTCAAAGAGGGTTCCATGGGATACATTTCCATAACATGTCAGTACGGGTAAGTCTGTGGTCCAGTATGTTTGGGAAACACCAAATTAAAGTTAAAAACATGATTCCTTACTAAGTAAGCACTTCTCAGAGTCTTCAGTATGCCAGTGTACTTAGGGGGGACATGGGTATGCAATAGTTCCCAAATTTTTGGCCATGGAACCCTTCTTGTACAGAGCCTCTCCATGGAATACAGTTTGGGGAACATTGTTTTGGATTCATCTCCCTGGCCAACCAAGATTTCACAAAGTGAGAGACACTTTCACTTCAAAAAATCCCCTTTTAGAGAGTGAGAAAAGAAACTAGAGAGAATATGCGTGTTGTTGAGGGCTGTAAAAACTGCAGGTACGATATTCTATAATCAGAGATGTTATGGGTACTAACACTGTATTAAAGTGATGCATTTCGCAGTTGTAACATAAAGGCTAATACCTTGTCTCTCATTTTTAGTACTTTTTTGTGTACCGGAGAAATGTCAAAATAAAATATGACCCTGACACTTATTTAAAAAACAAAAAACAAAAATTGCAGGTCTGAACAATCACCTCATTCAGTTGACCTTGTTTTCTTTCCCAAAAGACTGACCAAAGCTATCACGTGTAGGCTGGTAGCACAGAAGGTGGAGAGCCTGCTGAAGGGCCAGGGCTTCCCAGATTATGTGGCCCCTTTTGGAAATTCCCAGGCCCAGGATGTGCTGGACTGGGTACCCGTCCACTTCATCACCCAGACGTCCCACATGAAGGTAAAGGGGGAGAAGTTGAAGGCCACATGCTAGTGGTCTCTCCAACGTTCACCTGCCCCTCACTGTGGGGAGGTAGAGGCAGTGGGGGAGCTGGCGGTGGGGGGCTCTGGGTAGGAGCTTGGGCTTTGTCGTTAGATGAGCCTGGATCTTGAGCACTGATTTTGCCCCTAGTTAGCATTGTCGCCTTTGGCCAGTGGTTTTTACAGGTTTGAGCCTCTGTTTCCTCATCTGATAGCTATATTACTGACCTCATGGGCTTGTTGAGAGTTAAATGAGGTAACATTCATGGTGCCTAGTGGTCACTCCATAAATGGAAACCACTACCAGTCACCATCCTATTCCTTGTTGGTGTTATGCAAGGCCTTCTCTAGGCATCGTGATATGATAGGTAAATGTCAGGACTGTTTCAACAAGACTTCTGTCTGCACAGCTGTCCCATCCGTTGTTCCCTGGTCTATAAAAGCAGTCCACATGTCAGAGCTTTCAATTCTAAAGTTCCCAGAAGAGTTTAATGGAAGTTGACGTTCTCCAAATAGGTTCTGGATCACGTGCGGTTCTTCTGCCCACCTTTTTCTTTTGTCTCAGCAGTCAGAGTGTGGGCCAGCCCCCGTCACCGCAGGCATGCTCCCCATCTTATCCTTTAATTGCCCAGCTTTTTCTTGTCACAGTTTCTTCAGGCCTCTCATTACCTGCTTAGCACATTTATAGCGTGGGGATAATGGGGGTGAGGACTAGCTCCGATCCCGCCCTCCCCACCGAGTCCCCAGCAGGGACCCGTGGTTACTCAGTCCCTGCTGTTCAGCTAAGTCTTGGCTCAGCTCTCCTGCCTCAGTGAACCAGGCAAATTGCTTCTAGTTTCTCAGAGATGGTTAAGACATCCAGTTATTACTTATCCCTCAGAAGGGAAGACATAGGTTGAGGGGAGAGGGGCAGCAGTGCAGACACTAGCACTGCTGGGGTCTGTGCTGGTCAGGGAGCTCAGAGGGCCTGGAATGGGTTTTGTACCAGCCTTCTAGGCATAGCCAGCACGAGAGCATCTGCTAAGCTCAGTTGATACCAGCTGTGTGTTGCATCTTTTCCTAATAACAGGATATTCTCAAGGATTTTTCAGCTTGCAAATTTCTTAAAAGACAGTTTTAAGCCAAGGAATTCCACCCGTGCTTTTTTGGCAGGCACCAAATTTAGCAGGCCTGCTAGCTTTTCATGCCCTAAAGAGATGTATTTTTTTAAACTTTTTATTGTGGAAAAATTTCATACACAAAAGTAGAATACTCCAGTGGAACTCCATCTCCCCGTTGGGCAGCTTCAACATTATTACATTTGCCAATTGATGAGACTGTAAAGGCAGGAAAGAGGTCTGGAAGGCCTCCTCGCCCATTTTCCCCTTGGGGCTGAGCAAACAGGGGTCCTGGGCAGAGGCCTCAGGCCCAGGTCCCAGTGTCTAGCCTGAACTCGGGCAGCTTCATTGTGGCACCAGTGCTCTCGGTGCAGAGGGAGAGTTAACATCTGTGACAGCTTAAAATGCCGCCTGTATACCCCAATGTAGCATCTTAATTGCCAACTGATGAAATCAGATAAGTGAAAAGGAAGCACTTAAATTTCCTCTAAGTGCATTTTAACATGATATGCAGTCAGGTTTAATTTCTGTCTGTTAATAATACCGTTCTCCCTCTCCCCCCTCCCCCCATGCCAGCTTCGCTCCTGAAGTATCTCTGAGGTAGATGTAAACAGGCAGGTGCAGTTAGAGCTGTTAAGGCCCTGGAGGTTCCACAGTTGGGTATTGGGGTTACCACAGCTGCCAGGTAATGCTGGCCTCTTTAGAGATGGGAAGGGATGGAAAAATTATGCTTTAGGTGTTAAAATATTTTTGGAGCATGAGTACTTTAAAATATGTGCTTTTTCTAAGCTGTTTTTATCTGAACTTCTAGAGTCTATTCATCCTCTTGTTCAGAACATTTTGTAATATGTGAAACATTTTGTAATTAAAACTCTGAACTGCAGATTAAGTTTGACATGAGGTTGTTTAATACTCAAATTGATTAACGGCATTTTGTTTTGCAGGATTCTTGCCAGCTCCCAGTGGCGTTGGCTATAGAAGTGAAGTGGACTAAATACGGATCCTTACTGAACCCACAGGCTAAAATCGTCAATGTAACTGCAAATCTGATTTCATCCTCGTTTCCTGAGGTAGGCCTAATTTTAAAGATATAGGTTAAGACACGAGTCCAGACAAAACTGTGATAGGTGAAATTTATTTTGTAAAAAAGATACTTAAAATTTAAACAATCTGGATTCTTAAAACAATTTAGCAGTCATTATCTTTTACTTGGAGAAGAAACTCCCCTGAACACAGGGGTTTTATTCACATTAACATTCTTGTTTAGACTTGATCTTTTAAAACTCTTGTCTTGAGTTGTGAGTGACATCGATGTGTTAGGACAACCTGAGGGAAAATTGTATCTCTCCTCTGAGTTAATGGCTGATTAGCCCTCCACGTACCTACCAGATTCATGAACCAACAGTGGTTGGGTGAGGAAGGAAATGAAAGCTGTCCCATCTGTGTTATCCTGGTGAATACACTGGAGGGCAGGGCTTGCATCACTCTGATTTTTTTTTATTACAGACCAACTCAGGAAATAAAAGGACAATTCTTATTTCCACTGCGGTTACTTTTGTGGATGTGTCTGCACCTGCAGAGGCAGGCTTCAGAGCTCGGCCAACCATCAATGCTAGGCTGCCCTTTAATTTCTTCTTCCCATTTGTTTGACGTAAGTCATTAAATATCGAAACTACACCACACCTGCCTAATCAAGCGCGTGTGGGGCCCAGGGCTCCTTGGAGACATCCCACTTTATTATATGTATAACCTTGAGGTTGCCCCCAGACCGACACACTTCCCCTCTCCACTCACTTCCCTCCTCTCTTTTCTCCCTTTGGGAATTTCATTCTACTTGCTTTGACTTTAGAAGGGGTCTGGCTTGGCCATTTCCAGTACTCTCAATACACAGGTCATATGCGGAAGCCAAGTTGCACCTTTGGGAAGAACGTAAAGAGAACAGACCTTGAAGTAGTGCAGGCGTTGAGGGTTTATCCAGTTTATTCATCCCCTGCTTTAATGTGAGTTATTTTTTAAAATATTATTTTTAGTGCTCGCTTCGGCAGCACACATACTAAAATATTATTTTTAGTTCAGGCTTTCTTTTCAGGTCCCATTAAAATGAGTATAAAAATAGCAAGTTGTATAAAATCATGCAAGTAGAGTACAAGGCCTCACGAGGGGCTCTTCCCCCAAATGTCATGTTAATTACAGTGGAGTCTTGGGTCTAACTGCTACTTCTGTACCAGCTAGCTTGCTCTCAAGCTAGTGGGCCGGTATAGGATGCCACAGAGTGACTCCAAGCAGTTGAACCTAGAAAGAATACAGTAGGAGGGCCTGTGGGAAGGAGAGAGTTTATTTTATACATTAATTGTACAGTAATTGAGAAAAATGTTGTCAGGGGACAGAACTGGGTGGAGCCAGCTAAAAGTTGGAGGACGCAGAGGAGGGGCTGGGTACTTGAGAACAAGCCCCTTGGGAGACATTGTGATTAGCTGTTTAGAACAGCTTGGAAATAGAAAAGATTTATCTAGAATGTGCTGATAGCTAAGGTAGCTCTCTTTTTTCTCTTTTGTCTTTCAGAGTGGTCATATGAAAGGATGCACTGGTTCCTTAATATACATGTGAACTGTGAAAACTGTACATTTGATGAGATTAAGTTTTACATACAGCTAGTAATTGTCCAGCTTGTTGTTCATTTTCAAGCAAGAGTCAAGTATTCAGCATGAGAAAAATATAGTTTATGATACATCTGTTAAACAGTGTGGAGTGGGAATGGGATGGGACATTCTCAGTCACACCAAGGAAGAAATAGAGCCTCTGAAAGACTGTGTCCCCCAGAATCCGAGCTGGCAGCAGTGAGACAAAGCCATCAAAGCAAACCTCTCCCCAACGTGGCCCCAGGAGGGGCGGCTGTCTTCCTCATCACAAGCCCGTGAGGCAGGTCTTCCCTTTGGGGTGGAGCAGGTATGCCTCTAGTTCACCTCACCAAGAAGTCCATGCTGTCTCAATAGCTTGTTAAGTCTTTCAATTTCTTGTTCCTGTTATTACAAAAAGCAGACAAATAAGTGAATTTACCTTCTGAGCCTCACCAGGGATGTGGCAGTCACACAGTGAGCCGCAGACACGCACAGGGAATGAAAGCCATACTCCTCATGCAATCAGTCAGCTGGGGCCCAGCAGCGATGGCAGTGAGGAGAGAGACCTGGCAAAGCTGCAGAGAAGGAGGCAACGCCTAAACTGAATCCGAAAGGACAAGGAAGGCCTGACCGAGGGAAGTGGGCTCCGGGCTAAGGGCACTGAGTGAGCAGAGGCCTGGCCTGGAGAAGCTCAGTGCTGGAGGGAGGGAACGATTTGTGTACACAGAGGGTGTTTTCCCAGACACCTTCTTACCTTCTCAGAGCAGCTGAATTCAAGGTGTTGGATCTTTGTGGCCAGTTGTATATTTATCTGTTTTAACCTTAGTAGTTGCCGTTCAGAACGTGTCTTAACCGAGATAATTATCCCTGAAAAATAATAATAATTGCGAGGGTCTCCATGATACTGGTCTCTAATTTAGCCCCTTGGGAAAAAAACTGTATTCCTTACAAATGTATAACTGGGAAGAGTGGTGACAAGTAAAACAGTCATCATGGCTTAAAGGTGTCAGAACTAGGAGGGTCAGAGTTTTCATTTCCGAGCTACTCAGTACCCAGCTGTGAAATACTTCTTTGGCTTGTCTGGTGTGAGAAATCCTTAAAAATAATCACTGACCAGATGAAGGTTAAGCTCCTTAGTAGGGGGCAGTTCACAACAGTCTTGCTACTTAGCAGCAGTTGTTCAAAAGGCACTAAGTGCAAGCCTGGAAATGCTCAAGCTTGGGGTTGGGACTGTCACTTTGCCAACTTTCTGCCTCCAGAGCTGTGGCCAGTTTAGTTGTCAGGCAATGACCTGCATCTTGGCTTGGGGGCTGGCGGGGGGGCGGTCCCAAATGCCCACACCACACTGCAGACACGGCCTCAAAGACTGGGCTGCAGTGGGGCCGCTCCGCCCCTTTCCAAGTGTGAGTGACGGAGTCCGGACCTTCCCCCACACGTGTGGCGCCCACAAGGCCTGGGAGTAGCCGTCCCTGGTCCACAGTGTTCCTGGTTGTCTCACTGAATCCGGTTTAGCCTTGTGTTCCTTCAGTCACGCTACTAAATTTGATAGCAGTGTAATAACGGGCAATAGTCGTATGCCTCGCTGCCATTTAGACAAAGAAAATGAACAAATCTCACAACAGTGTGATGTGAGAGTACTGGGTAGTAACTGCTTCATGAGTCATTTATAATCAGTCATGGTCTATCTACCTCACATAACCTTTACAGAGAGTATTTTTCTGTTAGATTAGATGAAAAAATCGACATAAGCATCTAAAATATTATCTGAAAAGCCTCCATTATTTCCTTTGACAGAACCCAAATAAAGGTTCTTAATAGGCTTTACTTTAATCACTAGATCTGAACTGGCCGCCCCCAAAGCCCACATGCCTGACAGAGCCGCTCGCACAGCCCTTTCCCTGGCCGGGTGGCACCACAGCAGGCGGCTGCAGCAGGGGATGGGCCTGCTTCCAACAGGCTGCACTGTCGCTCAGTCAGTCTCCTGACAGCGACCCACAGCCCGTCGTGTTGGGCACTAGTCTAGGGATTCCCAACCCTGCTGGACACCCAATCACCTGGGAGTGCTTCACAGACAGACACCTCCCTCTGGGCTCTGCACCAGACTCTCCACTTAAAGTGTCGAGGGTGATTCTGATGCGGCAAGTCCGAGGACAGGCATTTGATCAACTCTGACTAGTTTGCTGATGGCCGAACCGCTAACCAGTCGCTAGGTCCACATAAAACCACAGCACAAATGGCTTCTCTGACATGGAGGCTCCCTGCACCCACAGAGAGTGTGTGAGGAAGAGGATCTGTACCTGAAATACGGTAAAGCAGTATTTCCCCAAGTGTGTCCTCCAGAGCCAGAGTCTACAGCACGCTCATAGGTGTTATTTCCTCCAAAAGTGTTGAACTGGTCAACTTGGAAAACAATTACAGTTCTCAGAGCCTTCATCGTGCTAACTTGTGTTGTGACTTTCTCAAAGGGGGCAGAGTCTAGTGTACAGCATTTCTCAGCTTCCTTGCTCCCCTTCCGATGGTGCCCCTCCCAAGGTGGGATGGGGTTTGGTAGAACACTCTCCAGGAAACACCAAATGAAAAACAAAGGTGCTTTGGGAACCAAGCCGGCAGGGATTGATCAGGGATTAGTCTAACCCTTGCCATAAACATCTTTCAGTAATCATAGAAATGAGAGTCTGAAGGAGAAAGGCACTTCTTCTCAGAGCACATGTCCTGGTGTCAATTTGTAGCCACAAAGGTCACAGTGGGACACCAAATCAGGCCATGTTTCTCTTGGTTGCCAGGAGGAGGAGGACCAGGGCCTCTGCACCCCTTCCAGGTTCCACCCACTGTCCCATCCCCCGCCCCCCCAGCCCAGGAGCACAGGGGACATACCGTTGATGATCCGGGCCACCCGCCACAGGCGGAGCAGAATCAGCAGCCCTAGAGCCTCAAACTCATGCTCCTGGAAAAGGAGGACAACGTCGAGGACGAAGGAAACCACCACGACGATGGCGTCCAGGATTTCAAACTTGTGGTGAAAGAACTCCAAGCGGAAGACAAATATTTTAAAGAAAATCTCCATCATAAAAATGGTCAGGATGGCAATGCTCATGTAGTGGAACACCTGAGGGGACAAGGAGACACAGAGTAGACTCAGGCTGTCAGGGGCTGGGGCAGGTCACACGGACAAGCTGCCCAGTCACCGAGAGAATCCATTCATTTGACTAATCCCAAATTCCTGCCAGCACCAGGCGCTGTTCTCGGGCCGGACTGTGGCTGGGAACAGCACACACATTGCTCTCTGAAGGGCAATGGGGCAAATGGCAGTTGAAAACATCCGCCATGCCCTTTGGCCCTGCAAAGCTCACGCGTGCACAAAGACAGTAAGGATATTTACTGCAACATCATTTGCAGAACAAAAGATTTTCTACATTGTTTGGAGAACAACAGAAACGTCCACTAGACTAGGGCACTTGTTAAATGCATTATGGTATCTCCACATGGAACATTACGCAACTGTTCAAAAGACCAAGGCTGATCCGTATGTATCGACTAGAGATGACGGTAAGATGCTAAGTGAAGAGAGTTCCCAGATCTTGATTTGTAAATACTAGCCTTCACTAAAGTAACCTTTTCCATTCTGGGGCAGGGAAAGTACGAATGAGCTGGGACATCATCCAGGGCCAGAAAACAAGGAAACCTCAAAGGCTATGGAGGCATGTCAAGAGGACAGAGCAGTCAGCTCGAAGAGGCTCACAGTGACCAAATTTGGGACAGTTTGGATATTTAGTATTTAGGGGTGAAGTGCCGTGATGTCTAACTTACTTTTGAATGGTCAGACAAAAATAGATGGGTGTGGGGTGTTTGTGGATATGTATATATATAAAGAAAGCAAATACAGCAAAATGTATATTTGCCACTTTTCATAATAAAAAGTAAAGAAAAAGGCACAAGACAGTGAGTATAGGAGGTATATTACTGATTCTATTAAACAACAGAGGGAGAGGAAAGATAATCATCCATGTATGGGAGGACTTGGGTTGGCACAGAAGAAGACGTTAACGGCTGCCGTGGTGAAAGGGGCCACGAGTAGGAAGGAGGTTTAATATTTTCTGCCTGCTCTTTTACCATTTGAAAAGACATTTTTGCATTGTCCACTGAATTTTTTTCAAAGGTGTGGGGAGATCCTTTTAAGCCTCTGGTCTTCTCCCCAGTTACTGGTGATGGGCCGCACAGTGTATTTTGTGTGTCCACTGCCCTTTGGGTGAATGTCTGGGATGGGCTCAGGCAGGAACTGTGCATCAGGGAATAAATGGTGGGCACATCCCCCCAAATGGCTCCAGCACAGGGACCACGTCAGAATGTTGACAGGAGGAAAAACAGCTCGTCTTCCTCTGGGGGATGGGAAGGAATCATGCTCCTGGTTTGATAATCTGACAAACTCCAGCTCAGTGGAGCTGAGCTCAAGGTTCAAGCCATCAAGTGACTTGAGGAGGTTTCCTGCTTGTAATAAATTTGTATCTATAATTGGGAAAGGAAGACATTTTCTCTGCTCTTTGAAAGCACCCAATCAAACTACCCTCAAATAGGCCTGGTTACTCCAAGGGAGGTGCTGCCCCACCCTGCCCACCCACAGAGTGAACCACATTAAAGGGCTGCGGACACACTACCCTGGCGGCATAGTTATTCTTGTCAGGCTGGATAATCTTTAGGTCCAGAACGAGCTCGGCGAGCACCAGGAGGGCATCCAGAACGACCAGGCAGATGATGATAACCTGTGGACCAAGGGAAGAAGCAAGAAACCATGAGACCTAAATGGGGACCCTCCTTTCATCTTTAAGGTCTGGAAACATCTGAGTGAAACCACTGGGGAAAGATGCCAAGGATGGTAGGCCACTGCCCACAGCCCAAGCACCCTGCAGGGAGCCCCTCCTTCCAGCCCTGGGCAGTGCCTGTCCTCCTAAAGCCTCTGTGTGGCTCAATGACTGACCCTCGGTCACCACTGGTCTTTCTCTTACTCGTAAATTCACTGCTTCTCAGCATCTCTCCAACCAAACTGCTAATTCCTGGGTGGCAAAATATACTAAAGTTTCTAAAAGCATTTATTTTTCTAGTTCTGGGGATTGCTCTTGCCAGGGTACGACCAGAACAGATGCTCAATAAGCAATTTAAAATTTAAAACATCCAGCCTCAGAGATATGGCCTCCAGGCAGCTGGGTTAGAGTGATGTCCACTGTGCCCACGAAATAGCTTCTGGCTGGAGCTGTGAGGTACCCACCCCAACTCCCATGTGCTCGCTGGGAGTGAAGGGGGAGGGAGTCCTGCGTCTCCTGGAGAACAGAGAAGAGCTGCTGTAGGAAAGACAATCCGGTGGGTTTTGTGACCTGCTGGAGGGGGGAGGAAGGTGGGGACCAGGGTGAAGTGAGTGGGTGGTCTTATCAATGGCAGTGGGGGTAGTCATGGTGACGGAGGTGGTGATGATGGTGAGGACATTAAAGGTGGGGTGGAGGTGATGGCATTTGGGGAGACCCTGGGGATGACATGGTGGTGGTGGAAATGGCAGCAACGGGAGGAACCCCAAAGGACACTGTGTGACCCTTCTCTTCCCTTGGAAATACTGGACCATCACTTACTTCCCCCAGGGCCTTGCCTCTTAACACACTCAGGTAGGTAGATTTTGATCTCTGAAAATTAATCTGCCATTATCTTGGCAGTTTCTACAGTTTCAGGGTGAAATTAAACAAGTTCAGGCCTATAAAGAATGGACTATTAAACCTTTTGACCATTTCAACCTGTAGTAATTATTTCAGTAATTAAAGTATTTGATGACATGGTTTATTGTGAAAATTGTATGGCAAAGTGCTTTGTAATGAAGTTTTCAGACAAATCCAAATTCAGTAGCTTAGTAAAGGTTCAAGGGACTTCCCTGGTGGCTCAGTGGTTAAGAATCTGCCTGCCAATGCAGGGGATGTGGGTTCGATCCCTGGTCCGGGAAGATCCCACATGCCACAGAGCAACTAAGCCTGTGCACCACAACTACTGAGCCTGCGAGCCACAACTACTAAGCCTGTGTGCCACAACTACTGAAGCCTGCACGCCTAGAGCCCGTGCTCCGCAACAAGACAAGCCACCGCAATGAGAAGCCCGTGCACTGCAACGAAGAGTAGCCCCTGCTCGCCACAACTAGAGAAAGCCCACGCACAGCAACGAAGACCCAATGCAGCCAAAAAAATACTCAAGCCTCAGGTGAGGTCTTTCTTTCCTTCTTTCTTTCCTCCCTCCCTCTTTGGTTTTTAGACCTAAAGGGATCTAAGAGCTCATCTGGTCTAAAACCAAGGCACAGAGTTATTAAAAACTGACTGAATATAATATATATATATATATCCCCAGTTTGGGAAGATCCTACATGCCGCGGAGCAGCTGGGCCCACGAGCCATGGCTGCTGAGCCTGCGCGTCCAGAGCCTGTGCTCCGCAATGGGAGAGGCCACAACAGTGAGAGGCCCGCGTACCGCAAAAAAAAAAAAAAAAGAATGAAAGCACTTACACATGCTACAATGTGGATGAACCTAGAAAATATTATGCTAAGTGAAAGAAGCCCAACACAAAAGACCACATATATCTTATGATTCTATTTACATGAAATGTCCGTAACAGGCAAATCAATAGAGACAGAAAGTAGATTAGTGTTTATCAGGGATTGGGGATTATTGTTTAATGGGTACTAGATCTCTTTTTGGGGTGATGGAAATGTTCTGGAACTAGATAGTGGTTAACAGTTGGACAACATTGTGAATGTACTAAATAAATGCCACTGAATTATTCACTTTAAAGTGATTAACTTTATGTGAATCTCACCTCAATTTTAAGAAGTGAGAGAGAGACCCAAGGTCACAAACTATAATGCCCAGGTCCCAACCGCAGCCTCTATGAACTAATCCCTAAGGCCCTGAATTTGCCAGTTCACAAGGCAGTACTAGTTCTGAAGGGAGCCACATCACAAAGAAAAATGCTGAGAATTCAGGGAAGCTGGTTAATTCCAAATCGTCACGGGAAAATGGCCGTGCCTAGCCGCAGCACGCAGCAGCGCAGAGCGTGGACTGTGGGGCAGCCAGTCCTGGGCTGGCTCCCCCGTTAGCCTGGACCTTGGGCACAGCTCTCAACTCGGCTGAGCCTCAACGTTAACTCTAAGCTTCAGCTTCCTTCAGGGGATAATGGGGTTGGCCACATTTTCTACCCTGAGTGACAAGGGGAGCATTGTGTGAGATAAAGTGTGAGGAGCGCTCAACAGAGGGCCCAGCCCCGGTGAGCAGGTAATAAAAGTGAGGCTCCTGGCCTTCCTGGCCATCCTCCCCTAGCCCAGCTACCCTGTCCGTCCGTGGTTTCCACAGAGGCTTGACTCACCCCAAATTCTCTCCCTTGGTTGGTTGTGCCATTCTGTGGGAGAAGTGACAACAGTTAACTATATATCATGTCACCTTGGTCACCTCAAACCATGGGAATAGGTGGAGACTGCACCCAAGAAAGGGATTCCAGAATCTTCCTGTATGCTGATTTCTGTCTGCAGAGATCAAACCCTTAAACCCTCACCCCTACTCCAAGGTGGCCTCCCTGCTTCTACTCTGGGCCCCTCTACAAACTGTTCATGTCAACCCCTCCCCACCCCCATACTCAGAACCTTCAATGGCTGTCCACTGCCCACGGATGGCCTTCCAGTGCCTCCTCTCCCTCTACTGGATACATATAAGCCACGTGGACCCTTCTCAAATTCTTGAATACTGAAGACCCTTTCTGACCCCCGGCCCTTTGCAAACATGGCCCCTTCTGCCTGGGAAGCTCCTCCCCTCCCATCTACAGAGCTCACTCCTGCCCAACCTTGAGGTGTCAGGTGAAATGTCACCTCCTCTGCCACACGTCCTCCACCTCACATCCTAGGTCGGATCTCCCCCACCCCCAAGATCTCTCAGAGCCCCCTTCAGTTTCCCTACAGAGGACTTCTCTCCACTTGATTCCAGCATCTGTCTGATCACTGGAATGCCCACCTCTTCACGGACCATTAATCCTCCAAGAGTGAGGGAAGGGACATGCCCACCACACTCACTGCTATACCCCTGGCACATAGTAGAAGCTAAGAAGCGACTGCACTGCTGAGTGAATGAATAAACATCTCTACTCTGCTTTCCCCCAGAGCCACGTGCCCCTGGGGGGCCCGGTCAGGAGAGGTGGGACGTCCCAAGGGCTCCCCTTGCAGCTGGAAGGAAGCTGGCTCCTTCCTTCTCTCCTGAAATTGAGGGTTTGGGAGTTCAACACCAACAACTTAACACCACGTCTTCTCTTCTGTCAGAGCCACAGAGGAAAGCACTAAGCTGTCAGGAGTGCTGTGTTGCCTGCTTTGTTTCTCTAGGTCACACGAGAGTGGAAAAAAAAAAGACTAAAATAATTCCTTCTTTCTATTTTACCATGGAACAAAGTCAGTGACGGGAGAGGCAAGGGCTGCTTCTCTCTGCTTCCAGGGGGGACATTAGCTCTAGGGAGGGGCTGGATTATCGTAGTTATCCCTGCAGCAGGGACCCCAAAATGGCTCCATTCAGGGACTGGGCTGACAAGGAGCCTCCTGCTTTCTCCTGGGACTCAGAACATGCTTCCAGACACCTGCCTGCCCACATCGGGGGCGTGGGGTGGGGTTCAGACAGGGCTGGCCAGACTCCACCTGCGTTTGTCCTTCAAAATCGGCAGATGTTGGGACAGACATTGAACGCTGTAGAAGCCCCATTCCCTTTGCTATTCTTTGAAGTCTGCGTCTCCCTCTCAGGGTCTCCCCATAACCACACCTGGAGGCTGGCGGTGGGTTAAGCAAGGCAGATATTTTTGGCATCACTTCACAAAAGAAGAGACTCCCCCCCCCACCCCGGTCTCCTTTGTGTGTGTGTGGTAAATTTTGCATAACATAAAATTTACCATTTTAACTATTTTAAAGTTGGCATAAAGTTCAGAGGCATTAAGCACATTCACAAGGTTGTGCAACCATCACCGCTATCTAGTTCTGGAATGTTTTCATTTCCTGCAAATGGAAACTCTGTATCCATTAAGGAGTCACTCCCCCCACCCCCCACCCCGTTCCATTCCCTCCAGTCTGCCGTCTCTGTGGATTTACGTGTTCTGACATTTCATATAAATGGAATTATAAGACATGTGGCCTTTTGTGTCTGGCTTCTTCCACTTAGGATCACGTTGACAAGGTTCATCCGAATTGTAGCATGTGTCAGTGCTTCAGTCCTTTTTATGGCTGAGGACAGGTAGATCACATTTTGTTTATCCATTCGTCAGGTGATGAACTTTAACTGACTTTTGGATTCCCCAGACCACGTGGGACCTGCCCAGCACATGGTCAGTGCTCCGTAGCTGCCTGTGGAGTTAAGAAGCTGGTGGCAGAGAAGGGCCTCCACCCTGCCCTCGTGACTCTGCTGATGGCTCTGCCCCACCCCAGGCATCTCGGGCCTCTGCCCACCTACCTGAAACCTGTGGGCGCTGAAGAGCTTCCTCAAAGTGGTCCTGAAGTCGAGGCGGGGCCTGGGCCCGGGGGCAGGGGCCGCGGTAGGATCGGCATCTCTGCCCTCCGCGTCCAAAGCTGGTGTGGGCGGTGGCTCCTCCTCCTCCTCCTCTTCATTCTCCCACTTCTTGTAGTTGATGTTCCACGCGTGGCAGTCATCCCCAACGACGGTGAAGTGCTTCAAGAACTTGCTCATCCTCTCAGCGGGAGCCACCTTGGCCCTGCGGGTGACAGCCTGAAGGGAGGGGACAGAGAGGAAGCGCTCAGGTGGCCCGTCTGTCACTCTGGGGGAGCAGGGCCCCTGCAGGGCCCAGGCCACGGGGTGAAGACAGTCCCCGTGCTCAGAGCACCATGCAAGCACAGACCATGAGGTCACAGTGGTTTCTCGTGCATTTATTTTTGGAATCCAGGGTCTCAGGGCCGGTGAGGCAACAGGAAACCCCAGATTCCGTCAGGCCTGCCACTGTGGTCTGGTTGGCAGTAACCAACAGGAGAGGTACTGCCACGCAGTCGCAAAACACCCACCACGGGCCCTCATGTAAATACTGGAAGAGCAGCCCATGGTTCAGAGACATCACAACCTAAAACCCCAGAGGTGAGAGTTGGCAGGGCGGGGAGAGGGCAAAGGCAAAAGTAAAAGCACCCAAAGTTTCACACAAAAGTGAAGCCACCCTCCCCGCCTTCCATGCCACAGATCAGTCCTGGAAAGGTCTGAGCAGCAAGCGGATTTTTCCTAAGTTCAGCCAGTGCTGTTTTAAATACATTATGGACAGCTGTTTAAAGACGGATGGACTTCAAAGCAAAAAAGCAAATATCCTCCCATTCCTTTGCCCAACTTACCCTACCAGACATCAGATTTTTTATAAAGTTCAATAATGAAAACTTTCAGGTATGCTTACAAGAATAGGCAATATGATGAGCATAACAGGAAAAAAGAGCCCCAAACAGACCCAGGTCCCTGTGGGAACCTGGATGTGATGGCAATGGCAGTACAGATCAGTGAGAAAACACTGGAGAGGGTAGGATATCTGGCTTTCCCAACAGGGGAAAAAAAAAAAATCCCTACCTCACACCACACACAGAGTAAATTTCAGTTGTGTTAACTTATATAAATGTATTTTTTAAAACTTTAAAAGTCTTAGAACAAAATACAGACAAGTATCTTTATGACCTCAGGTCTGGGAAGGATTGCTTAACTAAGACACAAAACACAAAAGAAATGGATAGACCTAACTCATCAAAGCTAAAAACTTTTATCTCTTGCTCTCCCTTTCTCACACACACATCTGTACAAAGTCAGATACACCACAGACTGGGAGTAAATATTTCCAATGTATTTAATAGACAAAGATTTTAGTGTCCAGAATATGTAAAGAAATCTTACCCAAAAAATACAATTCCATGTAAAATTAGGTAGCGGATATTAACAGGCAGGTTACATGAGAGGAAACCCAGATGGCCAAGACACTCAACTTCACTAATATTCAGGAAAATGTGAATTGACGACACAATCACACAGCTTTTTGTTCCTCACATTGGCAAGAATTTAAGTCTACAATAGCAAATGTTGGTGAATGTGTGAAGCAATGGGGGTCTCCTGAACCCTGAAGACAGGAACAGACACTGGCACCACTATTTTTGGAAGCAATCTGGCATTGTTTTGTCAAGATGAAGCTGTACTAGTTAATGATCTAGTAATCCCACCCCTAGATAGGCTTCAAAGAGAAACTCACCCACATGTACTCAAATCAGTAACATGTTCAAGAATGTTCACTGCAAATGTTCACCTAAATGGTAGGAGACAGACAAGTGAATTTTCTCTATTCATGTGATGGAATTTTATACACAGTTAAAATGAATGAACTATGTCTCTGTGTATCACTGATGACATCCACGTGTACCCCCTCAGCAGTACTGAACACAGCAGATCACTCCCTTTCTTCAAAAACTTCCTTCATTGGCATCTGGGATTCCACACTCTCCTAGTTTTCTTCCTACGTCAATGGCCGCAAAATATTACTATATATTGTTTTTGGAATGTGTAAAATGTGAGAACAAACATACAAAAGAATGCAATTTCTGATTCTGACCATGATACAGTAACTGGTATAAACAACTATACCAGTTAGAGCAACTGCCATAAAATTAACTATACCAGTTAAAGCACTGCCACAAGACTAGATAAACTATAAAACTGGATAAAATATATGAAATTTACTGTGATCCCTGAGAGAAGAGAAACAAATGAGATGAGCCCCACAATCACCTGCCTGGAAGTACTTTCTGGACTCTGGAGACAAAGATTATAGTTCCGGGCTATTGAACTTCCTCAGGAATTTGTGTGTCAAGGTACCAGAGAAAAGGAAGTAGTGCGGAGAAGAAACTAAAAAAATTGGACTTTAGCTGAGTCCTAAAATTCACATGTGCAGAGCAAGACTCCCCGAGGCAGGGCAAAATATAACTTTCAGGGAAAAAAAAAAAAAACTCTTGGGGAACTGTGAGCTGAACTACTACCAATTACACAGGGCTGAGTTAGGAGATCTGAGTTCCAAACAGCTAGAGTAGAGAGATCTTGTTGAACATTCTGAGCATGCAGTAGAAATTCCAAAAAAGCCATGCCTTATAAGTAGACCTAATCTAGCCCTCCAGTCAGGGCTACCTTAGACCTCTCCTAACTAAGCTTAAAAATAAGGCTTTTTCAAAAGATCAAACTTATCCCTAAGTAAATTAACTGCCCGTTGGAACAAAACTCAAAAGTGCTCTTTTGAGGAAGACAGCAAAACACCCTCAACAACATAACATTCATGATGTCCAACATATAATAAAAAATTACTAGGCAGATAAATAAGCAGAAAAAATGTGGCCATAACCAATAGAAAAATTAGCTTAATAGCTCAAGAGGGACAGAGATATGGAATTGGCCAATGGAGACTTGAAAATAGCTATTCTAAATATGTTCAAGGATTTCAAGGAAAACATGAACTTAATGAGGGAACAAATGGAGAATCGCAAAAGAGAAATGGAAACTACAAAAAAGATCCAAATGGATACTCTAGAACAGAAAAATACATATATGAAATGAAAAATCACTGGATGGGCTTAATAGCTGATTAGATGCTGCAGAAGAAAAGTTCAGCGAACTAAAAGATAAAAAATTGAAAATATCCAGTGAAAGCATGGAGAGAAAAAAGACTGGGAGTGTGGGGAAGAATAGAGCCTCAGGGACAATATTAAGTGGCCTAATATACATGTACCTGGAGTACCAAAAGGAGATGAAAGGAAAAATATTTGGAGAAATAATGGCTGAAGAAAATTTCCAAATTTGATGGAAAAATATAAACACGTAGATACAAGAGTCCATGTCCCCAGAGTATCATGTGACACCTGACCTAGAACAGAAGCCCATCAAGTGCCTGTTGGCTGAGGGCACTGGTGCCCTGTCTCCCATGCCAGCCCTCCAATTGCTGGGTTCCCAGGGCTGGCCAAGGGCCAGGCCCACAGATGTCCCAAATCTCTCTGGGTGGCTACTGGCCATAATCGGCCCCCCTCAAACACCTCACCTAGCAGATGGAAACCTCCCGTACTAGTTCTCAGCATGGTGGGAACCTCAGGGTGCTTTGCAAAAACCACATTTTATATTTCATACAGGAAAGGAAATCTTTTTTGAAACTTTGCACCCAGTAAAGAGGCAACTTTCAGTAATTTGGGATGAAAATATTTATGGCACCCAGCAGAGCACAAACCAACTCTGGTTTTAAGTCAAAAATCTGTCATTCCGGAAGCAGAAACGTTCCAGAAAAGGGCAAAGATCATGAAAACGTTGTGGGCCTCAGCAACTTCACCACCCACTCTGGACTCTCAGCTCTTGGGATCCCCCCACCTTGCCTGGGTGGGACGGAAGGACTGACTCAGTGAGCTACGGGGACCACTGGCCTCAGTGCCTAGCCTGGAGCAGCCCCTCTGTAAGCACCAGCTGGTATCATTATTCCTCAACAACAAAAGCTCTCACCTCCACTCCTCCAACTTCATCATCACCCGTGGATATCTCGTTTCTCTGGTTACTAGCCCTGCTGCCTGCTCTGCAACCCCCAGACTATTTAGTTACATGAACTGAAAGATTCCTTTTCTGGCTGAAGCTATATAGATTGAGTTGTTTCTTTCACATGCAACCCGGAGAATCTAGATCAGTGGAGGCCCTGGCACTGGACACCCCCATCTCCATCTCCCCTGCATTAACCCTTGCTGTCCCAATATATCCTGGCATTGCTCTCTCTGGGGTCACCTTTCCGTATCAAAGCCCACAACTATGGTTCCAGCTGGACTGGACTGTATCCTCTCACACTGTGGACTTGGTTCTGTTTGACAACCATGCCTCTTGATTTTTCTCCCATCTCTGGCCTCCCTTCCTGTACCATGTCCCTGCCCCCAAGCCACCGGAAGTCCTCAAGTCCCCAACCCTGAGCTTGTCCTGGCACAGGGTGTCTCTCTCCCTTCGGTGGTCTCCACACACCTGTGTTTTCAATGCTGCTCAGGTGCAAATCAGCCTCCAGCCTGCTGTCTGATATCCTGCCAGGTCATTAGTTGCTATGACCCAAACTGAACTAATTTCTTATCTTTCCCCCCCAAATCCACTCTTCCTTACACGTTCCCCTAGGTCATGGTGTCACATCCACCCTGCTGCTCAAGCCAAGAACTAAAGATCGTTCCTGGCTCCTCTCTCTCCGTCAGTCTAACCTCCTAAACACCACTCATGCTGCACCTTCTCTTCTCCATCTCTCTCCTACCGCTCTCACCTCTTGCCGGGATGCCAGCACCAGCCTCCTCACTCAGCCTCCTGCCTCTGACCCTTTCTCCACCCAGTGGTGGCCAGGGTCACCTTTCTCCAAGGCTGGTCTGGCTGTGTCCCTGCCCTCGCCTATCCTCCCCCTCTTCCCATTACCTTCAGTCCCTCCACCCTCACCCACTGCCAACCGCTGCCTTCAGGACAAGGTCAAAGCTCTCTTGGTCTCCTCCCCAGCCTCTGCCACACTCCAGTTACACCAACTGCATTGCGGTTCTAGAATAATCCATGCTCTCTCTTGCTTCCAGGACTTCACACGGCCTGCCCCCTGCCTGGAATACCCTCGCCTGTCTCACCCTAGTTCTCTTTCAAGTCTTACAGACGTCGATTTTACCTCCCCTGGGAGGTCTTCCTTAACCGCCGCCCGCTGGGTAAGGGTCCTTCCTCTACTTCCC